CCAAGGACATGAAGAAAGAACTATTTACATCTGCTTCTGGTCCTTTTCTCATGACCTATGATCATATGGCAATTCAAAGAGCATTTCTGCAAGAGACCCAAGAGCACTGCCTTTGTGAAGGGGTGAGACTAGCAAATGATTCACAAAGCTGGGAAAAAGTATAAGGGAAATGACTGTTTAGGAGGTGAAGGATGGTGGTAGCTTCCAGAGCTTTGGAGGAGAAAGGCATAGGCCCAGAATGAATCAGCAATTATTTCAAAAAAGCTTTTGCCACAAGTAGATTATGTATGCCACTGGAAAGAGCTTAATATGTTTTTAAGAGCAGGAAATATATTTTACACAGTTTGAGTGGAGTTTAATCCCTGCACTAGGGGACTACTACTACTACTATACTTTGAGAGCAGCCGACTCATTCCCATTTAAGTTAATTTGCAAGTGTATGCATGTAAACACAGCTGAGAATTTAGTGCTGGCCAATGAGATGCTGCTGCTTGAAACTGAAATTTTAGGCTCCAGCATATTCAGCCATGCACTGCAAAAGATCATATGATGGTTGGTGTGGAGCTATACCAGGAAGTGGCTGAAATTTTTATTCTTCTATGTGCATAGCATTCCTTGAAAGGGTGTGTAGATGGTGATTTCATAATTCTGGAAGACAGACTCCTGTTTGTCCTTTTTCTGTAACTGTTTCTCTTTAAAATAGGCATATTAAGAAGTCTATGTAAAGAATAGTATTGTACACTTCAAATTTAAATGGCATATTAAAGAGGCACAGCCCACAGCTGTACACGTTACAGATTTAAAGTTTTTGTAAAATAACAGGCTAATTGTGAGCAGCAATAGCATTTAGAGTTGTTCAGTGGCTCAACAACCTTGAAATGTTTATTGGATGTTCAGGGTGTTGGCTTGTTTAGAGCCATTGTTTCATTTCCTGCTTATTTATTTTTTCTTACAACTCTCTCTCCGCCCATCAATTAAAATGTTACCAACATATTCATACAGTAAACATCTCAATAACCAGGTTAGCAATTGTGATGCTTCCCAAAGGTACCCAAGGTCGAGACATCTCACTACCTCCTGCCCTTAGAACAGGAGTTGGGAATCTTTTTCCTATTGGGGGGCCACTGAAATTTCCTGTTTCTCTGCTCCCAGTGAGACAAACCTGATTGTTAATAATGTCAGTCTGTGCGTTGTTGCGGAAGCTGTGTATATAGAAATCCAGATTGTAATTCTGACGGTCAGAATTACAATCTGGATTTCTATATACAAACCTGATTGTTAATATTCCCCTCAGGTCACCACGTCACACAGAACTTTGAATGGCACTAGAAATGTTTGGAAACAGCTAGGTAATGTAAAATCAAATCATAACATGCATATTAGAGCCCAGTTTTAGTTAAGACATTTTCCTGTTTAACGAAATTTGGTTTACCTAAAGTCTTTCTCCCAGTTCTTAACATCTAGGTTGACCAGGACCCTCTGTTCATAAATCAAGTAGGCTGGCAGCTTGTCCCTTCCATGAAGAATGCACTGTTTCTTTGCCTCCAGTTAAAGTTCCAGCATTCTGGTGTTTGTTCATAAACAGCCCACCCCCTGCTGCTTGTGTTTTCATGTGGCATATCTCCCTGTAGCATTCACAAGCTTTTGATGAGCATTTTGCTCCGTTTGTAAATTTTGCTCCCTTTGTGAAGCACACAATACTCACTTCACAAATAATTAGAGAAACATTCCTTCCTAAAAAACTTACTTATCATCTGTTAGAGACCAGCCTTTCAGCAGAGACCTTACTGCTGCCCTTTGGCAAACTAGTATACAGGCAGTCCCCGAGTTACGCGGATCCGACTCCGCAGTTACGAACGAGGTTTGCTCCGCGTCTCCCTGGTCTGCTGGTCTTCATGGAGCACGCGGGCAGCGTGACAGCCCAGACGCGCCGCTGCTGTCCCGCTGCCGGCGTCCTCAGAGGCTTTGCTCCGCGTCTCCCTGGTCTGCTGGTCTTCATGGAGCACGCGGGCAGCGTGACAGCCCAGACGCGCCGCTGCTGTCCCGCTGCCGGCGTCCTCAGAGGCTTTGCTCCGCGTCTCCCTGGTCTGCTGGTCTCCAGCAGACCAGGGAGATGCGGAGCAAAGCCATGGAGGACCCGGGCGGCAGGACCGCGGTGCGTCTCGGTCCGCTGCCCGTGTCTCCCTGGTCTGCTGGGGGTGGGAGGTGCAGCCTGTA